TGCGGGCCCTTTAAGAGCCAGACCTGGAGTTTAATGTGCCCCCCTTCCACCTCCCTGGCTGGGTCCCCAGAAAGCTGGGGGGAGGGGCGGGGAGCAGGGAGGGAGAGGGGTAGAGACCCTCCTCCTGTTCCGTGGCAACAGTATCGTGGCTGCCTCCCAAACATCAGTGGTCAGCTTTTTCCAGTTCCTCGGCCTAACATTCCCAGTCAGTCTGTCCCTCTGTCTGTCTGCACTGGGGGAGAAGGGGACACGGAGGAAGGGGGGATACTCCCAGCTCCAGGGTAAATTAACCCCTTCTGCTCTGGCTTGGCATCAAGTGAGTCCCCTTGTTCCTCCTTACTTCAGGAGGTTAAATCCCTGCCCCTACTCTAGCTTTGTGACTTTGAATGTACTGTTTAACCATAACTCCATTTTCTCATCTGTGAGATGGGATCATGACAGCATATGCCTCTTTGACCTTTCCTGTGAGCAGTTAAAGTCTGTGGAAAGTGCTCAGCACGTGGTCTGGCACATAAGAGGAGCTCAGTAAATATTTGCTGCTATTATCATTATTATTGTAACCCCTGGCAGGGGATGGGGCTGGATTTGCAACCTTTAAACAGCAATGGGGAGCAAGTTGCTTTGTATTCAGGGTCCAAGGAAGCAGGAGAAGTGAGGTTGGATGACAAATTGGACTCCTGAGGAGGAAGGAGCAGGTAATGTTTCCAGTTCCATCCAGAGGTAGGGAGTTGATCAAGGTGTCCCACCACCCAGGGTCTTCCCCTGGAGGCCAAAAACAAATTCATTGGCACCAAGGCTGAGGATCCACGGGGAAGTAGGTTCAAGAGGCCAGGAGATGTGGGGGCTTAAGGGGAAGCAACTGAGGTACCTTGATGGGGGGTCCTGCTGAAGCAATGTGGTGTAGCCCTGTGGCCCCATCTAACCCAGGCGGGGAGGAGGGGCAGGCCTGGGATTTCCCGCCTCCAGACCTAGAGGCGCTGAGTCAGTGGAAACCCCAACCAGCCACGGAGGCGCCCCACTGTGGTCCTTGCGAGGAACCAGGCCCAGATGTGGTGGTGGCAGTGGTGGGGCTTGGGAAGTGCTGAGCTCAGCAGGCAGGAAGCGGAGGGGGTGGGGCTTTCCCAGAGCTCTGGTCTGAGGGGTGGGCAGACACAGACCCGCCTGCCCTTAGGCGTTGCTACAGTGGTGGGCGCTGGGGGACCTATAGGAAACACAGATAGGTCGGGCTCTGTTCTAGGAACGTCACACAGGCTGACTCCTTCCATCTTCACAACACCTTATGAAACCGAATCTATTCTTTTTTTTTTTTTTTGATTTGGAGTCTCACTGTGTTGTCCAGTCTGGAGTGCAGTGGCACGCTCCGGCCACCGCACCCTCGGCCTGCTGGGCTCCAGTGATCCTTCCACCTCAGCCTTCCAAGTAGCTGGAACTACAGTCGTGCGCTACCACGCCTGGCTAGTTATTGATGTATTGTAGAGACGAGGTCTCGCCAAGTTGCCTGGGCTGGTCTTGAACCTGCGGGCTCAGGCAATCCACTCGCCTCGACCTCCCAAAGTACTGGGATTATGGGCTGAGCCACTGAGCCTGGCTTGAAATCTATTCTTATCCCCACCTTACTGTGGGGGAAACGTGCAACTCAGGAGCAACACAACTCACCCAGCATCACACAGCTAGCGAATGGCAGAGCGGAGAAGCTTGTTCAGCCTGGACTCACAGCACATGCTCCTAACCACCGGGCCAACCTGACAGCTCCCACCTTTCCCCCCCCCACCACTGCTCCAGGCAGGAGGGGAAGGCTGGGCTAGGGGCAAGGGACCTGAAAAGGGGGAGTCCAGATGCCTTCCCTTAGCACCCCAAGGGAGCTCACCAGAACAACCAAACCTGGGATACACCTTCCACCTGAAACACTATCATAGACCAGTCTAAAAATGTGCCGTGTCCCTTCCCCCCGTCACATATGTGCACACATCCAGAGACTTGTAGTCAGATACATTCTCTCACGATACTTGGATACACAGACTTCACACACATATAGAGGCACTTATGTTCACGCAGACACACCCTGGCCCTAAAAACATTTACACACAGACACATGCACACACATGATAAGCCTCCATATAAGCAGATACACAAAGACACATGTATGTGCCCTGATGACCCCACAGAAATATATCCCTGAACACACGCAAACACAGGGGCATAATTATCAGAATGTATGCATGCAGCACTGCATATACTTGAATGTACACACGATAGACACAAGTGAGTACACACAGGTGTGTGCATACAACATACACATAGAAACACAGACATGTACCCACATGCATAATTATTCAGCTACAAAAGCAGAGGCCTGCAGAGCTGTGACATGTGCATGTGTGCTCACTGACACAGACTTGGCTCCCAGAGAAACACCCATTCAGACATGCACACGCTGGCATACACACATGTATAACATGCAGCCATGCTGATACGTTTACATGCATCCAGCCCCAGAAATCCCTGCATGCCAGTGAGCTGGGTATCCCGTGGGGCTGGGCTCAATGCCCTCGCCCCAGATGGCATCGACACTAGGTAATCAATGCTGCTAATCGCCACCAGCTGCCCTGGAGCCTGCCTGCCGCTGCCGGGTGGGGCTACCAAGGCCTCCTGGGTCTGGGGTAATATGCCCAGATGTTGGCATTGCCCAAGGGTCCTCCCACTACCCCAGCTGGCCACTGGGGAATCCCTGTCTGACAGGGGCAGCCCCAGGGACTCTTCAGTCCCTGGGTGAAGAGCCAACACAGGGCCTGGTCCCAGGACAGGCCTACAAGCTGCCACGCATCCAGGAAGTGTCTGAATGTGTTAGGCTCACACAGAGGATGGAACCCCCCAAATGCGCATGTGCACACCTAGGCCCTGGCATATGTGCACACAGGCACACACATATATGCACACAGACATATCACACATGATTAATTACTCTTCACAGATCTGCTCCTTCTTGCTGTCTTCCTCATCCTGGTAAATGCCTCCATAATTCATTCAGACCCTCAGGCCCAAAACCTAAGCTTGGATCCTTTCTCTCCCCATCCAATCCTGTCCATTCTACCCCCAAATCACAGCCTTCATCCATCCACTCTGCAAACCTCCACAGCTACCACTTTCACGCGCGCCACCATCATTTTCTGCCTGGACTGTTGCAAGAGGCCCCATCCCCCCAACTGATCTGCCTGCTGCCTTGGGGTCCGCTACCCCTTACTTCCCACCCTGCAGCTGGTGAGTCCCTTCCAAACCTGTATCAATTGGTTTCACTCTCTTGCATCAGTCTTCTAGTTCTCGTTATACCTAAAACAAAGGCCAACATCTTTCCCTTGGCCTTCCTAAGTCCTTCGTGATCTGGCCTCTGCCTTTCTGTCCAGCCTCCTCACCCCAAAAGCTGTAGCCTACTCCCCCCAACCCCCCAGTTTTCTCAGCCCTGGATTCACCAAGATGGTTTCCTCTGGGGCTTGTGCCCAACTCCTCTCTCTGCTAGGAAGGCTTTGTCCCTGGGCTGGCTATTTGATATCAGGATCTTACCTCCTAAATCAACTCCTCTGAGTGGTCTTCTCTAACCACCAGATCAGAGGAGCACCTAGTTGCTCCCTGTCACTTGATCCTATTTTAAACCTCTGCACAGCCCTGGAATTTGTTGTCTAATAAGCCGACACTGCACGAGTGACCCAGTCCACTGTTACTACTGTCCTGCAGCAGAGCCTGGCACCCACAGGCGCCCCCTAGTGAATGAGTGGATAAATGTTAGCTAGCACCGTCCAAGTTCTCAGACACAGATGTGCACCCACAGGAGGTAACATAAGCACATACACGAATGTGCTCGTGTGCACACATACATGCGGACACACATGTGCAACTTCTGGGTCATAGAGGAAAGACTGAGACCACAGGGTGTCTCTCTGCCTCCCTTGGTTTCTCTGGGTGTTTCTGTCCTGTCTCCTTAGGACATCCAGCTACCTCTCTCTTTTCTCTTTTTTTCTCCTCTTTTCTCTGCATCTGTGTAAAATCTCTCTGGTTCTCTTTCCTCCTTCTCTCCAGCTCTCACTAACCTGCATCTCTGTGTTTCTAAGTCTCCTGTTTCTTTCTAGTTTGGGATCTGTGTCTCTAACTTTGCATCTCTTATCTCTTTGTGTCTCTGGTCTCTATCTTTGTCTTTTTCTCACACTTTTGGCATCTTATGTTCCTGTCTCCTGTTTCTCTTTATCTATGACTTCCCTGTCATTATCTCTCTATTTCTGTGTTTATCTCTCTTCACCCTGTCTCTGTCTCTGTGTGTGCGTCTCTATTGCTGTCTGCCCATGTCTCTGTTTCTGGGTCTGGTCTCCATTTCTGCCTCTCTGTATTTCATTCTTCCTCCTCCTCCCTCTTCTTGCCCTAAATCAGCCCTGCCACTGTGTCTCCATGGTCGCATCTCTGTGGCAGGAAGACCCATCTTTCACCTCTGGCTGGCAGCTTTATGGTCCTAGAGGAAGAGCCAGTGCTCCTCTCTGTTGGCAAGCTCCTCACTGACACCCTGGGCCCTGGCAACTTTCACTAACCACTAGGCCCAGTCAGGGCATCTCACCTCAAATAGCTGACATTACAAGGTACCTACTTGGTTTGAACACTTTGGTGCTTCTGGAGAGGTGAGCCCAGACCCTGATGGGTACTCC